CAACCCCAACCCCAACCCCAACCCCAACCCCAACCCCAACCCCAACCCCAACCCCAACCCCAACCCCAACCCCAACCCCAACCCCAACCCCAACCCCAACCCCAACCCCAACCCCAACCCCAACCCCAACCCCAACCCCAACCCCAACCCCAACCCCAACCCCAACCCCAACCCCAACCCCAACCCCAACCCCAACCCCAACCCCAACCCCAACCCCAACCCCAACCCCAACCCCAACCCCAACCCCAACCCCAACCCCAACCCCCAACCCCAACCCCAACCCCAACCCCAACCCCAACCCCAACCCCAACCCCAACCCCAACCCCAACCCCAACCCCAATTGCAAAAAAATAATTAATAAGTATTTATTAAATATTAAAAATTAAAAATTAAACATTTAACTTTTATTTAATTTTTCTAATTTATTTATTATTCATTTTCTTGTTATGAATGGTTTTAATTATAAAATGTTTGAATTTAAAATATTTTTTTAATTTTTTAATTATGATTTTCATATTCTTTCTATAATTGTTATAGAATTGTATTAAAACGCCTATTTTAAACTTAAAATTTTCATTTAAAATTTAGATATTTAATGTGATAAGTATTATCAGATAACATATCTTTTTAATAATATTAATTTGATATGTATCACTATCTTATTATTAAATAAGGATATACGGTTTTATCTAATTTAAAAATTACTTACTTAGAAGAATGTGTAAACAATTACTAAAAATGTAAAGGCTCAATAAAATTTACAAATATTTTTTAATTAAGTTTATAAATGGTTTTTTTCTAAAAAAATTTTTTTGTTTGAATTTTTCATACTATTTCAATTACTATTATTTAAAAATGCTGACACTAAAATAAATAGTTTTTATAAATAATAAATTAGTTATAAAGTTTCTTTACTTCTTCTGATTATTTATTTTAATGATTGTAATTTAAAAATTTTGATTATAAAATAAATAGGTTTTATAAATAAATAACAGCATTTTTAAATAATAGTCATTTAAATAATCAGAAGAAATCATAAAGAACTTTTATTATTAATTGATGCTAAAAATAAATAGTTTTTTAAATAATTCACTTGTTTTCTTTACTTCTTCTGATTATTTTAATGATTATTATTTAAAAATTTTAAGAAATATAAAGAGAAGTATATAGTAGAGCACATATATTTGTAGTTCTAAACAGCTAGAACAGAATAGCTTAAATTTAAATAAGGAAATATTGAAATTGTGAAATGGATTCCCTTTACAAATTTATTAAGATTTGATGCTAAAACCCAAATAGACAATACAATAAATAGGGTTTATTAATAAATAATTTTTATAAAAGTTCTTCATGATTTCTTCTGATTATTTTAATGACTATTGTTTAAATATGCTGACGCTAAAATAAATAGTTTTTTTAAATAATTTACTAGTTATAAATTTTCTTTACTTCTTATGATTATTTTGATGATTATTAATTAAAAATCTTGACAATAAAATAAATAGGTTTTATAAATAAATATCTATTAATAATAAAAGTTCTTTATGAAATTTTCTGATTATTTTAATGGCTATTTTTTTAAAATGTGATAATAAAATTAATTTGCGTATATTCTTACTTTAAATAAGGGGGAATCTTATTTATTTAAAATTTGATAATTTGACTGTAAATATTATTATAATTTAATGAAAAAATATAAAAATGCTCACAAAAATGAAATATCCCTACTAAGTATTTTATTTTTTATAACTTTTCTTTATAATTCTCAATAAAATCATCTAATATTTTTTAACTCAAACAATTTTTATGTTTGATTCCATTATTGACTTTTTTAAAACCAGTATACAATTAAATGAATAGGTTTTCTAATTAATTAATTGATAATAAGGTTTTCTAATTATTATAGCTCACTTAAATTTTTTTAAATAAATAAAAAAGAATCTAAAAAAACAAAAAATACTAACTTTCCTCAATATTTAAAGAAATAATAAATTATTTTAAAATAACTATTTTATTGAATATATTTGATTCCATTAGTTACTTCCTTAAATATGAATACAATTAGTTTTGTTTCTAAAATAAAAATACAATACTTTAAATAAAAATGAAAACTCTCTCTGAAACTTTAGGTGCTCGATAAAACTTTGTTTCGCTTATTAATTCAGTTTTGTGTTTTTATTTTATCTTTTTTTGTTTAAATGAATATTATTTACAAATGTTTATGATTTAAATTGATATTATTAAAAATTTTTCATGGTAATTTAAATAGATAATTTCAATAATTAGACATAGATAAATAGTTTATTAATTAAAATAAGCTTGATACTGTCTTTATTTATGGCATATCTAATATTGATTAATATCTATTAGTATCTGTAATCAAGGTTAATTAAGGTGCATAGTTCATATATATAGCACAATAAGTAAATTAAATGTTTTTGGAAGATAGAACCTATAGAATTTTAAAGAAAGTAAATAAGGAGGACTTTACTCAATCTTCTTAAATACCTATAAATACCCAAGATTAGTGTTCTCTCCCATTTATTTTTGTATCTTTAAGCTACTTTTTAACAGTAATACTTAATTGTTTATACCGCTAACTCTATATTTGCAGGAGTTTACTTAATTTTATTTTAAAAAACAGGAAAATGCAGCAATTCAAAGTTTAATCAACATTATTCAAACGATGGCCCATATACTATTGTTTTAATAACTCCTAACAAAACACTTATTCCTTTTTGATTAAACAAACATTAATATATACGTGGTACAGTAAAACATGTATAAGTGGGCACCTTTATATTAAGAGTACTTGAGTATATTGGGTGATTATGCGTAAAAAATGATATTTGAATGTTTTAGTCTAATGAGTTTGTGTTCCCAATATCCTTTATATTTTATTGTTTATATAACATCATTATCACTCTCAATAAAGTCATCTTATATTTTTTAACTCAAATAATTTTTGTGTTTGTGTGTCTCTATTATTGATTTTTTTTAAAACCATGTATGCAATTAAATGAATAGATTTTCTAATTAATTAATTGATAATGAAGTTTCCTAATTTAAATAAAAATATATGAATTTTTATAAACAAAAAATATTACTTATTTTAAAATAAATTTTTTACAGCATATACTTGGCTTCCATCATCACAGTCTTTATTACTAATGTAATTAGATTTACTTCTAAAACAGAAAGTGTAATACTTACTTTAAATAAAAATGAAAATTCTCTCTGAATTGTAAGTGCTTGAAAAAACTTACTTTGTTTATTAATTCAGTTTTGTGCCTGAATTACTAAATAAATAGTTTCAGTAATTAAGCATAATAAATTGAATATAAGGTTTATTAATAAATTTGGTGCTGTTTGCTTTTAAATAGATAAAAATTAATTTTTATTTAGAAAATTTTGATTATCTAAACATCTAAGGTTATAGGATTACTAAATTTAGATGCCACTTTAATAGTATCTATTTGGTATCCATAATTACTTTCTTAATTATGAATGTAATTAGATTTGTTTATATAAAAAAACATGTAAAAATTTTAATAAAAATGTATACTCTCTGAAATTGTATGTGCTCGATAAAATTTTGTTTTATTTTTACTACAGTTTTTTGTTTGAATTACTTCTCTTTTAAATCAAATGAATATTATTTAAAATTAGTCATAATTATGAATATCAATAATTAATTTCAATAATTAAACATAAAAAATAGAACAAAAAGTATATTAATTAAAATAAGTTTGTATTATTTATTTTTAAAAAGGTTAAAATGAATTTTTACTTAGAAAAAGTTTTTATTATCTTAATAACTTAGCTCATAGGAATACTAAGTTAAGGTACCTCTTTGTCAGTACCTATTTGGTATCCATCATCACCTTCTTATTAATTAAATTAATAAGATATTTGTTCCAGTGATAATAGTGCAACACTCTTAAGATGTCTCTATCCACCTAATTAGAATTGTTGCTTAGTTTATAGCGACTAGTGCGGAATATCCCTTACTTGTGCAAATTTAAATGACTAATCTGCCTCTCTATTAAATAATAAAGTTAATTTACTTGTTCAAGATATGATAATATAAGCAAACACTTAAAATATATGGATTGCTGATTCTGCGTATATCTATTTATATACAATTTCATAAATTTCATAGTAGAATTTTGAAATAAGTTAAAAAATGAGAATGGAAAAAGCTAAGAATGCAGGAACCACAACGAGCATCTAATAATTTAGTTTTCTCAGTAATAGATTGTTTTTTAATTGTCTAGGAGGGGTCTTTATTTATGATATTTCTAATACTAATTTACCTCAATTAGTTTCTGTAATTAAGGCTAATTAAGGTGCGTAACTCATAGAAATAGCACCATAAATAAATTAATTATTTTTGGTAGATGGAACTTATAGAATTTTAAAGATAACAAATAAGGAAGACTTCACTCAATCTTCTTAAATACCTATAAATACACAAGATTAGTGTTCTTTCCCATTTACTTTTGTATCCTTAAACTATCTTTTTAACAATAGGTATTTAATTGTTTAGTAAACCAACTCTATTATTGCAGGAGCTGATATAACTTAGTTTTTATAAACAGGAAAATGCAGCGATTTACAGTTTAATCAACTTTATTCTAACAATAGCACATATACAATTGTTTATATAACTCCTAACAAATAATACATATTCCTTGTTTAAGCGAATATTTATATAAATGTGATAGAGATGAGCTATGATCCTAATTTAGCTGCGAACATATTCTAAGTGATTGCAGTTAATAAATACATTTACTATTTTACCCTTTCGCTTGACCTTTCATTTCTAGTTGTATCAAACCAGGTAACAATAGACTTTTTTTTTTAAAAAAGTAATCCTAATTACAATTCAATGACTCCTAGTATTATTAATTTACCTTAAATAATTTCATATGTAGATCCTAAAGTATCTTCAACTCCTGTTGAGCCTTATGATTGCCAATTTACATAAACAAAGGCATATCTTATCTATACTAAAGGTTCATATGGAACTTATATAATTTAAGAAGACCAAAATAGCCACTTTTTATAAGTGAGTTAAAGTATTAACCCTCCACCTACTCCTTCTGAAACCTTAAGGATGTCAAGAGCATTTAATAATGACTAAAACCTTCTAATTGGTAGAGGTACTATTATTTACATATATGATATATCCAATTTGTTAGTTCCTGTTTAGCTATCTATGCTTAATTTTGGATTTAGTGGTATCTAATTTCGCCGTTCTTATATTACAAAAGATATGAAATATGCTTTACTCGCTGGAGATACAAAAGGTGTTTTTGTAGTGGATATATCTGACTTAAAAAACCCTTTTCTTGTTACTACTGTTTATCATAATTTTACAAGTTCAACACGATGTTATTATATTGATATGCCAACAAGTGAAAAGTATGCAGTAGCATCATATTTATATTTAGGTATTATATTCTACGATTTTACAGATTTTAAGAATCCAAAAATTATATCTTATATGATAAATTAAAGTGCTCGTTCAACAGTATTCTTCTAAAATTAAAATTTTTTGCTTAAATCAGATCTTTAACAAGGAATTATGATTGTTAATGTAACTGATATCCTGAATCCATAAAAATAATCCACTATAAAGTAAGATACATCTGTTAAGTAATGTGTTTTGGTTTAAAATGATCACTTTGCTGTATGCACATCCAATTACCTAGGGAATTTATTATTGATAGATCTAAGAGACTTAAACAATCCTTAAATATACTAAAGGTATGATTTTAGAAACCAAAAATTAAGCGGATATAATGTATGCCTAAGCTCTGATTAGAAAACAATTTATTTGGGTTTATTGAATACTATTGTTAGAGTAAGTCTTTACTCTAATATATAATTTGAGACTAATTTATTACTTCTTTAAAGAGGATCTACTCAATTAAACTAGCTTTTGGATATAAAAAAACCTTTTGAACTCGGTACCTAGGTGAAAGTAACTCTTCAACAAGTCTATCCATCCAGATAAGCAACAATCAAAGGAGCAAAGTTTTATAACAACCAAAATATATAAGAATTACCTTTTTGGGCGACTTTTTCAACCTCTGACTCTTCACTTTCTCTCTCATTTACAATATAATCTATAAGTAATAGCAATATTTACTTAAAGGGTAGTAATGGAATTTATTTTTACACATTTTAATTTATATTTATAATAAATTAATCTATTCTTAACTACGATTTTATTAATCAAAGCTTAAATATTGATTAAAATCTGTCAAATCAAATATTTATAGACTGCATTTTAGCAGGTTTGCTAGATAATAATAATTATTTTAATGGTCAATCATTTGATACAATAAATTATCATTTTTAGTAAAAATATTTATAAAGTCAAATTTAATTTATATTTTATGTGCTGAGTAGCAGATTCCTTTACTACCCAATTTAGTTAAATGTGTATGACTCCTTAATAGTCAGCATAGAAGATATAAATTCTATACCCTACATTGATTCTGTAAATAGCTATATTTACATAGATCTAACAGTTGATAAGTAATAAGCAAATTTTATTCCATATACTTATAGTGGAGTATTGACTTATCTTAGTGATAAGAATGATTGGCTGAAAATTGAAGGTGATTTGAATTCAGTAAATCTTGTTATTTAAAAAGGAATTCAGTTAGCCAACTTTACCTAAGATATTTCTAACATCAATATTACTATGACATTTGATGATAAAGTCAATAAACTTATTACAAAAACTATTTAGGCATCATTCAAGCATATAATTAAATTGAATTCTCCAATATTAAATAACCCACAATTATCTCTTTAAGAAGACTTTGAGAAAAAATTTTCAGGCGGGTCAATAAATATAGAGGATACATTTAGTTATACATTTAGCTCTTCAATTTTTATTAATAAAGACAATAGGCAAATTTAATACGAAGCTCTGATGCTTTATAATGGAGAATATTTACCACTATCTTAGCAAAGTTGGCTGCTTTTCTAGTCTGAAGAAAGAACTTTTGTAGGAACAACTAAATCAAGTCAATATAAATAATCTATACATTTATTAATCAATGCAACTGATGGATTTACCTACGCGACTGCTTCGTTAGTCCTACAAATAGACTCTATTCCAATCTCATACTTAGTTCTTTTACTTTTCCAAATAATAAGTCCTCTTTTAGGTATTATTGGATTTTGGAAATATCGTTCATCTTTTTACAACTTTGTCTAAAGAAAATCATACTGCACTACACCAATAGAAATAATATGTGGGGAAGAAGTTATTTTTTAAATTCCATTGCTCGGAAACAAATTAAAAACAGCATAATCTCTTTGGAATGCATATTTTAAATCTTTAGACAAATAGGCTATTATTAAAGAATTTTATATATAAAAATAAATAAGTGAACCTATTTTCAAAAATAGTAATTCCAAACTCATAGCTTAGCAGCAATAAGATAACAACGAAATTTAAAATAGTAAATTTTCTAAATAATAGGAATATTTTTAAAACTAAAAAATTTCTATATCTTAAAGCCCTTCTAGTTTAAAAAGATAATTATAAAGAAATTTAAGAAAATAAACTTAATTATCTTAAATAAAATAAATTGGCTAAAATGAAGATTCAAATAATTAAGCTGAAACGAATTGGTAACTAGTTACAGAAAAATAATAAAATTTTCTCTCTAATTAGAAAGAAGTTAAATTGCATTATTTCAATTATGATAATACCTTGAATTTTCCTTAAATTATTATGGAAATTCGTGAATAGTATATTAATAATAGCAAATGTCCAAGTAAAAAAATAATTGAATAGCTTAATAATCCCCTGTCTATGATTTGTCGAGCACTAACAGGATTAGCTACAATTTCTATAGCTGGTTTTTTATCAGATAAAATGATATAAAATTCTATAAATTATTTAAAAGTCTATGCAAAAACAAAAGGATTCTCTGAAGCAGATTGGTACAAATATTATATAATTATATAGCCTTAGTTTTCAAGAATACATTTTGATTAATTTCCATTAATAAAGATATAAGAAGATCACTTATAAATGGTTCTAAATATTTTGCTTTATGAAACAGAACTTAAATAAGAAGACATAAATAATTTTTATTAAAAATACTTTCCTTTCATCAAAGATAGCCTAACTGCTATAGCTTTAGGTTTCACTTAGGATGGATAAGGGATTATACCAAAAATAAGAGGGGAATGCCTTGAAATTAAATCCCATAAAATTTAAAATATAAAAACATTTAGACCATTTATCAAAAAAAGATGTTTTCTTAATAAAACAATATCTAAAAGTGAGACCTTGGTTGATAAAGAGCTCTCTAAAATTTAAGAAATTCCTTCGTGGATACTAAGTATAGATCTTGCTAATAATGTGATATTAATCAAAGGAAAAACATAACATAAAGATATTGGTTAATATGTTTTGAACATCTACGACGACAAGCATTTTGTAATAAAGTAAATAAGAGTTATCATAAAACCAGAAAGTAATTAAGAATGCGATAATTTTAAAGAAAAATCTCCTTTACAACTTTCATAGTAATTTCATTCAGCTTAAAATGTTATTAAACCATAAATAATGGGAAGTGAATATACTGCAGAAGAGGATTTCCCTCTAGAAGCTAGTAGTAGCTTAAACAATCGTTATTTTGGAGCTTCTCAGTCACTAAAAAGTAAATCTAATTAATTAAGTGATAAAAATAAAATTATACTCTGATTTTTGTATAATAATTTTATTTAAGAAGTTGCTGAAAGCTAAAATAAAGAAGAAAACATTATATTTTTAAAGTGGAAATCAAAACTGAAAATGTAAATTACAAAATTAAAAATTAAAAAATGATAAATCATTATAGAAATGCATCAAAGCAAATAATTTCTGATATTGGAATATATATTATATAACTATTCTTAGTATTTTTTTTACTTAAATAAATAAATATAATTTTGTTTGTAAAATATAAATTAATTTAAAAATACTAATAATTATTTATTTTACAATTTTAAATTTTTTAATTTTAACTTTAAAAACATTTTATTTTTAAAGTTTAATTATTTTAATTGAAATTTAAATAATTAAATAAAATTTAAATTTGTTATGTATGTTTAATTATCAATGCAAACAGCTTTTTGCATATTTTTTTGTTTTATTCTTTAACTAAAAAAAACACCCGTTTGCAATTTGACCATCAATTTTCCAATTTAAAAGTTTCAGATTATTACAATAAATATCATTTGAATTTTCACATTTTAATACCTCTTTTTAAATAAAACACTGATACTCATTCAAATTTTTTATAATAATTTAATAAATAGAAAAATATTGCTTTTAAAAAGATAAAAATGAATTTTTATTTACAAAAAATGCTACTTATCTTACTATCTAATATAATTGCTTCATTCAGTTAAGATAATTCCTTAATAGAACTTATTTGGTTTCCATCGCCGCCTTCTTTTTAAATAAGTTAATAATAGTTTTGCTCTACTACAAAAAGTGCCACACTTTTAAGATGTCTCTATCCACCTAACTAGAACTGTTGCTTAGTTTATAGTGACTAATGCGGACTATCTATCGTTTGTACAAATTTAAATAGCTAATCTGCTTCAATATTAAATTAGAATATCAATTTACTTGTTCAAGATATGATTATATAAGAGAATACTTAGAATTTATGGATTGCTGATTCTACATATATCTATTTATATACAATTTCAGAGCAGAATCTTCAAATAAGTTAAATCATGAAAATGGAAAAAGATAAGAGTGCAGGAATTACTGCTAGTATTAAATAATTTAGTTTTATTAGTAATAGATTGTTTTTTAACTGTCTTGGAGGAGTTTTTATATATGATATATCGAATATGAATTAACCTCAACTTGTTTCTGTTATTAAGGCTAATTAAGGTGCTTAACTTATAGAAATTTCACCATAAATAAACTATTTATTTTTGGTAGATGGAACTTATAGAATTTTAAAGATTACAAATATGGATGATTTCATTCAATCTCCATAAACACCTATCAACACATAAGATTTGTGTTCTTTCTCATTTATTTATGTATCCTTAAGCTATATCTTTAAAAACTACTTATTTGCCTAGTCATCCACCTATATTATTGGAGGAGCTGATTTAACTACATTTTTATAAACAGGATAATGTAGTGATTTAAAGTTTAATCAAATTTATTCAAATGATAGCTAATATAGTATTGCTTTTATAACCTCTAACAAACAACACATATTTCTTAATTAAGCAAATATTTATATAAATGTAATAGAGATGAACTATGAGCCTATACCATCTGCGAAATTATTCTAAATTATTGAAATTAATAAATACATTTAATTTTTCGCTCTTTCTTTTGATCTTTAATTTCTAATTGTTTCTAATTAAATGACTATAGACTTTTTCTTTAAAAAAAGTAATCCTAATTACAACTCTACACTTCCTAGTATACTTAATTTACCTTCAGTAATTTCATATATAGATCCTGTACTACCTTTAAATCCTGTCCAACCTTATGATTGCTAATTTACGTTTTCAAAGAAATATCTTATCTATACTAAAGGTTCTTATGGAACCTATATCATTTAAGAAGATCAAAATAACCACTTTTAATAAGTAATTTAAAGTATTAACCCTCCTCCAACTCCTTCTGAAACTTTAAGGATGTCAAGAGCTTTTAATAATGATTAAAATCTTTTAATTGGAAGAGGTACAAGTATTTACATATACGATATATCCAATTTATCAGGTCCTATTTAGCTTTCTATGCTAAATTTTGGATTTGTGGGTATCTAATTTCGTCGTTCTTATATTACAAAAGATATGAAATATGCGCTGCTTGCTGGAGATATAAAAGGTGTTTTAGTCGTTGATATATCTAATTTGAAAAATCCTTTTCTTGTTACTACTATTTATCATAATTTTCCTCGTTTAACAAGTTGCTATTACGTTGATATGCCAACAAGTGAAAAATACGCAGTCGCATCATATCTCACTTTAGGAATAATACTCTACGATTTCACTGATTTCAAGGACCCTAAAATTTTATCTTATTTGACTACTTAAAGTGCTCGTTAGACAGTATTTTTCTAAAATTAAAATTTTTTGTTGAAATCTGATCTCTAAGAAGGAATTATGATTGTTAATGTAACTGACGTTTTGAATCCATAACAAGTATCTACAATAATTTAAGATGCATCTTCTAGGTAGTGTATTTTAATTTAGAATGATTTCTTTGCTGTTTGCACATCTAGTTATCTTGGAAATTTATTATTGATCGATCTACGAGACTTATAAAATCCAAAAATTTAATAAAGGTATGATTTTAGAAACAAATAATTAAGTGGATATAATGTTTGCTTAAGAGGTGATTAGAAAATAATTTATTTAGGCCTAGTTGATTCTATAGTTAGAGTAAGCCTTTACCCTTAAATTTAATTTGAGACTAACTTATTACTTCTTCAAAAAGGTTCAACTCCATAAAACAAATTTATAGATATCAAAAAACCTTTTGAACTAGGTACAAAGGTGAAAGTTACACTTTAATAAGTCTATCCAGCCAGAAAAGCATTTATAACAGCAGCTAAGTTTTATAATAATTTTAAGGTATAAGATTTACCATTTTGGGCTACTTTTTCAGCAGCTGATTCCTCACTTACCCTCTCATTTACAAAACAATCTATAAGTAGTAGCAATATTTATTAATAGAATAGTAAAGCTATTGATTATTATAACTTTTAGTTTATATTTATAATAAATTAATCTATTTTAAATTTTGACTTCGTTAATCTAAGCTTAAATATTGATTAAAACCTATCAAATCAAATATTTGTAGATAGCATTTTAGCAGGATTGCTAGACAATAATTATTATTATAAAGGTCAATCCTTTGAAGTTATAAATTATTATTTTTAGTAAAAATACTAATCGAGTCAAATTTAATTTATATTTTATGTTCTAAGTTGTAAATTGCTTTACTACTCCATTTAATTAGATGTTTATGATTCATTAATAGTTAGTATAGATGATGTAAATGCACAACCATATATTGATTCAGTGAATAACTATATTTATATTGATCTTACAGTCGATTTGAAATAGGCAAACTTTATTCCACAAACATATAGTGGAGTTTTAATTTATCTGAGTGATAAAAATGATTGGATCAAAATAGAGGGAGATTTAAATTCAGTAAATCTTGTTATTTAAAAAGGAATTTAATTAGCAAACTTTACAGATGCTTCTAATATTAACATTACTATGACATTAGATGACTCATTAAATAAACTAATTACCAAAACTTTCTATGCATCAAGTAAGAATATAATTAAACTGAATTCTCCAATATTAAATAACCCAGATCTTTCACTATAAGAAGATTTTGAGAAAAAATTTTAAGGCAAATCTGTATTTATAGAAGATACTTTTAGTTACACATTTAACTCTTAAATTTTTATCAATAGAGATAACAGAAATATTTAATATCAAGCTTTGATGCTTCAAAGTAATGGAAAATTTTTACCATTAACTTAACAAAGTTGGTTATTATTCTAGGCTCAAGAAAGGACTTTTGTTGGAACAACTAAATCAAATTAATTTGGATAATCTGTACATATATTGATCAATGCAACTGATGGATTTACTTATGCCACTGCTTCTTTAGTCTTTAAAATTGACTCAATTCCTATTTCTTACTTAATTATTTTACTTTTCTAAATCATAAGTCCAATTTTAGGAATAATAGGATTATGGAAATATCGTTCACATTTTTATAATTGTATTTATAGAAGCTCTTATTGTACTACACCAATCGAAATAATTTGTGGGGAAGAAGTTATTATTTAAATTCCATTGCTTGGAAATAAATTAAAAATTGCACAATCACTTTGGAATTCATACTTTAATACTTTAGACAAATCTGTTATTATAAAAGAATTTAACATAAAAAAGTAAAACTGTGAAGTTAATTTTGAAAATAATAATCCCAGACATAAAGCTTAGCTATCAATTGATCATAATGGTATCCTAAATACCAAACTTTTAAAATAATCTGAATAGCAATAGTTTTAAAGTTAAAAATAGTCCTTTTTTTAAAGCTCAAGTAATTTTAAAAAGAAGTTTTACAGAGATTTAAGAAAAAATGTTTAATTAGTTCATTTTAACTAAATTAACTCAAGCAAAGATTATAATAACCAAGTTGTAAATAATTAGTAATTGAATTAGTAAATTGGTTAGTAAAATTTGAAATTATCTTATTTCAATTAAGATAATTCCTTGAATTATTCCAAAATTATAATGGAAATTCATGAATAGTATATTAAGAATAATAAAGTACCAAACAAAAAATTACTTGAATAGCTAAATAATCCTCTGTCTATGATTTGTAGAGCACTAATTGGATTAGCTTCTATTTCGATAGCTAATATTTTACCATAAAAAATAATCTAGCACTCTATAAATTATTTAAAAACTGTTGCAAAAGAAAAAGGATATTTTGAAAAAGATTGGTACAAACATTATGCAAGTATTGAACATCAATTCTCAAGAGTACACATTGATCAATTTCCATTAGTAAAGCTAGATGATAATCATTTATAAAAAGTTTTAAATATTTTATTTTCGAAAATAGACCTTAAATAAGAAGAGATAAATAATTTTTATTAAAAATATTTTTCTTTCATCAAAGATTATTTAACTGCAATAGCTTTAGGATTCACTTAAGATGGATAAGGGATTATACCAAAAATAAGAGGGGAATGCCTTGAAATAAAATCTCATAATATTTAAAATATAAGAACATTTCGACCTTTTATCAAAAAATTCTTTTTTTTTTCAAAAGTAATATTTAGAAATTAAACTTTAGTTGCTAAAGAGTTTTCTAGTATACAAGAAATACCATCATGGATATTAAGTATAGATCTTGCTAATAATGTAATTTTAATTAAAGGAAAAACATAACATAAAGATATTGGTTAATATGTTATGAATATTTATGATGACAAACATTTTGTAATAAAGTAAATAAAAGTGAATGTTAAGCCAGAAATAAATCAAAATAATAATAATATTTAGGAAAAATCTCCTTTGTTTTTATCTTAAGAATCAATTAATCGCGATTCAGCTAATTCTTTTACTAAGCCTAAACAATTTACATGTATATATTCTGCTGATGATGAACTACCTCTTGAGCCTATTAGTAGTTCAAAAAATCGTTATTTAGGAGACTCAAATTCATTAAAAAAAAAATCTAACTAATTAAGCCTTAAACATACAAATATATTGTAATTTTGATTAATGATTATATTCAACATATTAATTAACAGCCAAAAAGAAAAAAAAATTAAAAAAGTATAAATTTTAGTGATAATTTGAAACCTGACCTTAGGGCTTGTCGAAGAATTACAGTAAAATAAATTAAGATAATTAAAACAAAGCATTTTTAAATAGATAAAATGAATTTTATTCAAAAAATGTTACTTACTTATCATAATATATAAACTACTAATTACATTTCATTTAATATAATTATTTAATAATTCCTATTTGACAACAATAATCGCCTTCTAAAGAGATAAATACTTGCTCTAACAAAAATTTGAGTTTTTATTTGAGATTATTAATAATATAAGTGTTCATTTGAATTTGCTTATATTTTTTAATTAATTTTTCTAACTGATTTTTGCAAATTTTCTTATTTAAATATCACTGATTATTTAAACGACTATTACTTAAAAAATGTTTGCAAATAACTTTTTTTAAAAATTTACCAACAATTTTTAAGTATTCTTTTTATTAAAATAAGTTAATATAAAAGTATTAATTATCTTCTTATCTAAAATAATAACTATTAAAATTAGATAACTCATTTATAATGTTTATCTGGTATCTATTGTCGCCTTCTATTTTTAAACTTTATTTTTATTAAAATAACTCAATACTTTTAATGTTTATGTATGTGATAAATGTATTTGTACAATAAAATCTGATTGTTTTTTATACTTTTGCTTTGCATCTGATTTTGTAAATTTTTGAATTTGATTATCTATCTTTGATTATTTAAATGACTATTATTTAAAATTTTTTACAATTGAGTATATACATTTATTTAATAATAATAAACTGATGCTTTTCAATACATTTTGTAATTTAAACATAGTAATCATTAATACATTATAACAATTAATGTTTATTTTCTAAAATTATTAATTATATTAATATCTAAAGCCATAGATAGGTACATTCAGTTAATTTAACTATTTAATAGTATCTATTAAATATTATTTTAATTTTATAAATTGTATTAAGATATTATTTAATAATTTATATTTAATATCTACCATAATTAAATTAGTTTTTTTCGAATTCCAAAATTAAAAGTGTAGCAATATGCCAATAAGTTTTTATTTTCCTTCCCACGTTTTTGCAGTAAGTAGAGGAGCCGAACTTCGAAGAATTAAGGTACTTTTCTTAATATCTAAGCTCATAGGTAAATTATTTTAAAATAATCCTTTTGTTGCATATAATAGGTATGTTCCATCATAATCTCCTTAATTACGAATTTTTGTTTATAAAATAATAGTGTAATATTTTAAATAAAATTCAAAACTCTCTTTGGAATTGTAAGTACTTGATAAAACTATGTTTTTGTTTATTAAATCAGTTTTCGGTTTGGATTTCATCTATTTTTATTTAAATGAAAATTATTCAAAAATATACATGATTATTTAAATGAGCACAATTTAAAAACATTTAAATGAATAATTAAAAATGTTCATGATTATTTAAATAAATATTATTAAAAACACTCATTATTATTTAAATGAATACTAACTATTTAAAAACACTAATGATCAGTTAAATGAATATGTCTTAAAAATGTTCATAATCATTTAAATGGATATAATTTAAAAATGTTCATGGTCATTTATGAATATGTTCATGGTTATTTAAATGAAACGACTTAAAAACACTCATGATTATTCAAATTAATACTACTTAAAAATGTTCATGATTATTGAAATAAATAAATATTATTTAAAAATGCTCATTTTTTTTTAAAGAAATATTACTTAAAAATCCTCATAATTATTTATATTAATATAATATAAAAATGTTCATAATCCTTTAAATGAATATATCTTTAAAATTTTCATGGTTATTTAAATGAAATCACTTTAAAACACTCATGATTATTCAAAATAAATACTACTAAAAATGTTCATAATTATTCAAATAAATAAAAATTACTTAATAATGTTCATAATTATTTAATTTAATGTTACATAAAAATGCTTATTATTATTCCAATGTTATTTAAATTAATAATTTGATTAATTATACATATTAAATAGAAAGAAAAAATTGATTAATTTAAATAATAAATAAATTAAAAAAATGATTAAATAAAATAAACTCTACACATTTGTTACTAAAAAGATGAAAATGAATTTTTACTTAGAAAAAGTTTTGATTATCTTAATTACTTAGCTCATAGGAACACTAAGTTAAGATACCTCTTTGGTAGTGCCTATTTGGTATCCATCATCACCTTCTTATTAAATAAATTAATAAGATTTTTGCTCAAATGCAAATAGCGCAACACTTTTGAAATGTCTCTATCCACCTAATTAGAATTGTTGCTTAGTTTATAGCGACTAATGCGGAATATCCCTTATTTGTGCAAATTTAAATGACTAAACAGCTTCTCTATTAAATATGAAAATTAATATACTTGTTCAAGATATGCTTATACAAGCGAATACTTAAAATATTTGGATTGCTGATTCTAAGTATATCTATTTATATACAATTTCATAGTAGAATTTTGAAATAAATTAAAAAATGAGAATGGATAAAGATAAGAATGCAGGAACCACAACTAAAATCTAATAATTTAGTTTTCTAAGTAATAGATTGTTTTTTAATTGTCAGGGTGGTGTCTTTATTTATGATATATCTAATACTAATTAACCTCAATTAGTTTCTGTAATAAAGGCTAGTTAAGGTGCATAACTCATAGAAATAGCACCATAAATAAATTAAATATTTTTGGTAGATGGAACTTATAGAATTTTAAAGATAACAAATAAGGACGATTTCACTCAATCTTCTTAAATACCAATAAACACACAAGATTAGTGTTCTTTCCCATTTACTTTTGTGTCCTTAAGCTATCTTTTTAACAATAAGTATTTAATTGTTTAGTCAACAAATACTATAATTGCAGGAGCTGATATAACTTAATTTTTATAAACAGGAAAATGTAGTGATTTAAAATTTAATCAACTTTATTCAAACAATAGCACATATTCAATTGTTTTTATAACTCCTAACTAAAAATACATATTCCTTAATTAAGCAAGTATTTATTTAAATGTGATAGAGATGAGCTATGATCCTATTTTAGCTGCAAATATATTCTAAGTGATTGCAATTAATAAATACGTTAACTATTTTACCCTTTCGTTTGACCTTTCATTTCTAGTTGTATCAAACCAGGTTACAGTAGACTTTTTTTTTAAAAAAAGTAATCCTAATTACAATTCCATGTATCCAAGTATTCTTAATTTGCCTTAAATAATTACATACGTAGATCCTAAAGTATCTTCAACTCCTGTTGAGCCTTATGATTGTCAATTTACATAAACAAAGGCATATCTTATCTATACTAAAGGTTCATATGGAACTTATATAATTTAAGAAGACCAAAATAGCCACTTTTTATAAGTGAGTTAAAGTATTAACCCTCCACCTACTCCTTCTGAAACCTTAAGGATGTCTAGAGCATTTAATAATGACTAAAACCTTCTAATTGGTAGAGGTACTATTATTTACATATATGATATATCCAATTTGTTAAATCCTGTTTAGCTATCTATGCTTAATTTTGGATTTAGTGGTATCTAATTTCGCCGTTCTTATATTACAAAAGATATGAAATATGCTTTACTCGCTGGAGATACAAAAGGTGTTTTTGTAGTGGATATATCTGATTTAAAAAACCCTTTTCTTGTTACTACTGTTTACCATAATTTTACAAGTTCGACACGATGTTATTTCATTGATATGCCAACTAACGAAATGTATGCAGTAGCATCATATCCATAATTAGGTATTATATTCTACGATTTTACAGATTTTAAGAATCCCAAAATTATATCTTATTTGATTAATTCAAGTGCTCGTTAAACAGTATTCTTCTCAAATTAAAATTTTTTGCTTATATAAGATCTTTAACAAGGAACTATGATTGTCAATGTAACTGATGTCCTGAATCCGTAAAAATAATCCGTGATAAAGAATGATGCGCCTACTAGATATTGTGTTTTGGTTTAAAATGATCTCTTTGCTGTATGTACATCTAATTATCTTGGGAATTTATTATTGATAGATCTTAGAGATATAAACAATCCTTAAATATATTAAAGGTATGATTTTAGAAACCAAAAATTAAGCGGATATAATGTATGCCTAAGCTCTGACAAGAAAACAATTTATTTAGGTTTATAGAATTCTATTGTAAGAATAAGTCTTTATTCTAATATATAATTTGAGACTAATTTATTACTTCTTTAAAGAGGTTCTACCCAATTAAACTAGCTTTTAGATATAAAAAAACCTTTTGAACTCGGTACCTAGGTGAAAGTAACTCTTCAACAAGTCTATCCATCCAGATAAGCGATAATAAAAGGAGCAAAGTTTTATAATAATCAAAATATATAAGAATTACCTTTTTGGGCAACTTTTTCAACCTCCGATTCTTCACTTACTCTCTCATTAACAATACAATCTATAAGTAATAGCAATATTTACTTAAAGGGAAGTAATGGAATTAACTTTTACACATTTTAATTTATATTTATAATAAATTAATCTATTCTTAACTTCGATTTTATTAATCAAAGCTTAAATATTGATTAAAATCTGTCAAATCAAATATTTATAGACTGCATTTTAGCAGGTTTGCTAGATAATAATAATTATTTTAACGGTCAATCATTTGATACAATAAATTATCATTTTTAATAAAAATATATATAAAGTCAAATTTAATTTATATTTTATGTGCTGAGTAGCAAACTCCTTTACTACCCAATTTAGATAAGCGTGTATGATTCCTTAAAAGTCAGTATAGAAGATATAAATTCTATACCGTACATTGATTCTGTAAATAACTATATTTACATAGATCTAACAGTTGATAAGTAATAAGCAAATTTTATTCCATATACTTATAGTGGAGTATTGACTTATCTTAGTGATAAGAATGATTGGCTGAAAATTGAAGGTGA